AATTTAATAAATAATAAAATACTAATAATAAAAATAAAATTAGCTTACTTCCTTTTTATTTTATTTTTTATTTTGTAACAAGCTGGTTATTAGTAAAGTTGATATAGGTGATAATAATATAGATAATACTAATTTAGAAAATGCAGATATAAAAAAAGCCTTTGCAGATGAAGTTACTGAAGCTAAAGATATTACAGATGATTTTGAAGCTAGTGTGGATGATATTGGTTTGGATGAAGTTAATGTTTTGCATTTATTAGATATTATATCTTGGTTATCTAATTGTTTAAAGCATTTCAAAGTATTGAAATTCAAGAAGATATCTATATTGGTTCTCTTGCTTTTTTCTTATATATTGTATTTTCAGTTTTAAACAATAAAAGTTATAAAAAAAAACTTCTTTATTTATATAAAATTTATCTTTGTAAGTAATAAAAACTTTTAACTATACAGAATAACAAACTACTCATATTACATTGTTGTAAGAATCTTGACACAAAAAGAAAAACAAATGTACTATAACTCGTGCTAAAGGCTAAAAATTATATACAAATGACTACAGGATGTTTGTATATCTTATTATACTTGGCTTGACTCTTTCAGTTAAATCTATATCATTATTTGAAAGTATAACAACTTTAAACTTCACATATCACTATTCAGCAACTGTATATATTTGTATATTCTGAACAACCTGATACGTAAGATATCTAATCGAAGTATCTGCCAGTTACTAATATTTACTAGTACTATCTATTTTATATATGTTATTTTGTCATCATATAGTTTTTCAATATAGAAGTGGTAAACAATGCCTATCTTTTGAAGAGAGTATGTCAAATTCATCACTTTTTGTCAAAAAAAGGCCAAAAGTTTCGAAGAAGAGAAAAGTTTTATATTTGTGAGTATCTAGACCAAAAAGAGTATTTCCAAATAATGCTTATCATACTAACAGCTTCTAGTACTTGTATTAGGAAGTTTTTTCACCACTACTATTACCAAAATAAACCTTCTGGCTTGGATGCCAAACGTATGAAAGAGTCCACCAAAAAAGAGAAGCTTGACCCAAGGTACAAACCAGCATAAATACGTCTACTTCTTAGTATTTCACGTATATAGCCTTTGTCGACAATAGCACCTAATAGAATTCACAAGTATCTTGAAGCTTTTAGTTTTCAAAACTCCAACCTGCTTTCGGTACAGTTTTGGTGCAAGTGATCATAACAAATTTAAAGTTTTCTTAAAACTTTATTAAGTCAACTACTTACACTCTTTAATAAAAACTTACTCAGATTCTTTATATGATTATTTTAATATATAATATATTACAAACGAACTCAAACTTACAAAACTATAGCTAAAACTTTTTATCTCTTCTCTTGTTATTTACTCTAAATTATACTAAATAAACTTCTATTCTCACTTAAGACAAATTTGTTTTACTCATCAAGTCAAACATTTTTATATATAATACATTACAAACAGACCAAAATTGACAATTTTATATCAAGAAAACTTCAAACTCTCTTGCCAAAAAATGTACCTTTAGTTCTAAAAATTCATCAGCAATTTTTTGAAATTTTATTGGCTTGCTTCAGAAATCTTACTTTTGTGTACTAATTAAAATTTTCTGGAATTCAACAAATTTCAAAAATTTACTCACTAAACAGAAAACTTACTGGATTTTCTGGAAAACTCATTGGTCTTTCTAAAATTTCACTACGTACTATACTCTTAACAAAAAACATACAAATCTTACTTGGCACTCTAAGTAAACTTAGTCCTGTAATAAAAACACACCTTATATTAAAACTTCAAGTTAATATCTTTTAAATTCACTTAAAAATAAATCAATTTTCAACAAATTTCTCTTCTTATATCTAAAATCTACTTAACAAAAATCAACTGTATCTTTATACTTCACTAAGTAAACCTTACTTGATACTCTAAATAAACTTGATCTTGAGACTGATTGGTTTATAAACGACTCAGT